TCACTTCTCGATATATTGATGGCCTATCAAATATATCTTCGATCCTGACTTCCAGTTTCACTGGGTCGGCACGGTTTGATCATAGATGTTACTGAATAAGGTGTTGTCGAACTTCGAATACTTGTGGCACCTTCAAGTATGATTGTGTTCCGTATCTAAAATTGGTGGTACTTTCCGTCAGCCCACATCCGCCACGAAGCTTCAGAATAAAACATCATCTCATAAAAAAACTCGTAGATACTTTAGACGTATTCTAAGCCCTATACGGAGAGGTTGGAATGCTAATCTGAAACGTAGGTTTCCTGTCTATTTTTCGAATTAGGAATTGAGTCATCTACTACTCCTAATAGTGTTTTGTGTTTAAATGATCGTGTTGTCATTCCTCCTATACAGCGTAAATCTGTCATCAAAGATATCTATAGTGGACATTTAGGTGTTGAGGAAAAGAAGTCTTTGGCAAGGCCTACATGTTTGTGGCTGGAGATAAATGCAGATATATGTCGTACAGAAAACGATAGTGAGAGGTGTCATATGTTGAAAAGTCAGCCTTCGAAATGGACTTCATGGTTATTTTCGTTTGAGGCCTTGCAGAGAATTCATACAGACTGTTGTGGCCTATTTCTTGGCAAATTCTATGCTCTTGTATTCATTGGTTCTTTTTCGAAGTATCCTGAATTTTTTCTCACAACTTCATCAAATTCCGACTTCACAACCCAAGCATTAGGAAGGTTTTCAGTTGAGAAATAGTTCCCATGGTTTTAGTTACTGATACTGTAGTGAACAAAACACCAGTGGGGACAATCGAATGCATTTAACAACAAATTACAGACCTAGTTAGTAAAATCTAACAACCATATATTAAATGCTCGATTTGCAAAATGTTTATCAATTGTCTCAAATGACTCAGAATTCCTTTGTTCTTGCATTTTCCTACAAGTTGCATTCTTTCTTCATTCTTCATTTTTCGATCTTCTCGTCTCCCTGATGCCAGACATTCTGTTCATGACTCACGTCATATACTACTTATGTCTACATAAGTAGCACACTCCACAATACTAGCTCTCATTTTGCTGCGGCTGCAGTCACTACCTGGTTGAATGGTATAGGGTGCAAATATCTGTTCCCAACTCCCTCGCACCCTTGTTCTAGTGGCCAGGCAAATAGTATTGTCCGATAGACGTACAATGAACCTAAGGAGAAGACGTTCACTCAACTACAGAAACTGAGATTCCAATTTTTGCAGTAGCGGTCGTGGTATTTGTATGAACTAGTGATACTTTTGTACTTCATAACTGACTGATTTCGAATTCTGAATACAATATGTTTGTTTGTGCTAACTTAGTTCTATTTGAATTTCATATACCTCTTATCATCATACAAAACCAAGTTCCTACCTGACAGTATATTTTTAATAGTTTCGCCTTCATCTTTTAAATTTTTCCACATCTGATAACTTTAAATTGACGAAGTGTGGTGTTTGAATGAACTAATGATTGTTTTGTACTTGTTGAATGTTTGATTTCGAATTCTAAATACAGTACATTCGTTAGTGCTTATGTAGTACTTCTTGATTCAATTGCGTTATTTCTGGGATTCTCAGTTCATACTATAATTTAATTACTCCTAATTATCATATTGGCGTCGCGATGGAGCCTGCGTTGGAACAGTTAGATATTCATTCAACTTCTGAAGCTTTTGAGGATTATTTGGAAAGGTTTGAAATTTGGTACATGACCAAGAAGGATGTTAAAGGTGATAAAATTGTGGCACATTTCCTGACATTCATCGGAAAAGAAGCATACAGTTTATTGAAAACTTTAGCATATCCAGAAAAACCTATCTCATTTCCTTATGCAACTCTTAAGGAGCTATTATTAAATCATGTAAAGTACACTAGTTTTGAATGCCGTGAAAGGGCGAAATTTCATAAGATGATTCGTCGAAATGACCAAAAGGTTAAGGAATTCATCCTTGAATTGCAGAAACAAGCTGCCAAATGTAATTTCGGTGATCAACTTCATGTGCAACTGAGAGACCGATTAATCGCAGTAATCAACATACCGTGTTTGGAAAGAGAGCTGTTAAAAATGCCCAACTGTTCCTTTCAAGATGCTAGAACTGTGTGTATTAACTACGAGGCGGTGAATGAACTTGATATCCACTCGATGAATATTCCTAATACTTTGCTTAGTCGTCATGATGGGATACAATCTCAGGGTCAGTAAAAATCGCGTTCGTTTAACAGTGGCTCCTATTCCCGTGTAAATATGAAAGGTGTTTCAACATGGAATTACAAAGGAAATCACAAAGGTGAGAATAAGTTTGGCAAATGTTTATCATGTGGAAAACTTGATTCTCGTAATTCATGTGCATTTCGCAATGCTAAATGTTTTAGATGTAGTAAGATAGGACACATTCAAACAGTATGCAAAGCTACTGTTCATTTTGCCTCAAGTAGTACTAAATCTTGTAATTTAGATTTCACTAATTTGGGTGTTCCTAATGATCATTTATCTTTGTCTACCATTTCGAAAGATAATACTCATATTCAAAAGCAATTATATACATCTCTTGGTTCATGTCATGACTTTCTTGTGGACACATGCAGAATAGAGTCCATTATTTCACTCAAGAACTTGAAATCTTTAGATCCTAACGTTGTGGTACGACCCACTGAGGTATCAATATTGGGGATTACTGGACACAGACTGCCTATACGAGGATGTTGTGAGTTGCTAATAAGAGATGATAATTCTTCATACATACCTTGTGAATTTTTAGTTAGCGAAACAGGACTGTTAATACTGGGCTTAAGGAATTTGAAAAGGCTTAAAGTGGAGTTGTTTTCATTAGTTTCTAAAGAAAATTCTGATGCTTTACTTAAAGATTTGATAGCCACGTGTGCTAATTGCAGTGGTGGTATGAAAATTCAGCCTATAAAACTTCAAGTACAGGGTGATCCAGTCTTTCTTAAAAGACGAATAATTCCTTATGGTCTTCGAGATGCAGTACATAAAACATTAAACGATTTGTGTGCAAAAGGCATAATTGAACCGGTTCAGTCTTCAGCATGGGGTACTCCTATTGTTACGCCACTGAAATCGAACGGCAAGACTCCTAGAATATGTGGTGACTATAGATTAACATTGAACTCCCGTTTGTTGAAGCAAACATGCAAGACGGTAGAGGCTGAAGATATTCTAAATCGACTTCATGGTTCTAAAGTGTTCTCGAAAGTTGACCTAAAAGATGCTTATCTTCAAATCCCTTTATATCAATCCTCATCTATTTTGACGACAATTAACACTCCTTTTGGTCTGTTCAAATACAGTTTTCTTACATTTGGTCTAAGTTGTTCTTCAGCCATATTTCAGGAAGTTATGAATAAGGTGGTTAGTGATCTTGAAGGTGTTGAAGTTTGTCAAGATGATCTCATTGTTCATGGTTCTGACAAAGTAGTTCATAACCACAGACCTATTGCTTTATTGAGTCGTTTAATTGAGAAGAATATTACAGTGAATCCAAATAAGTGCCAAACAAATTCAACATTTTGACTACATTTCTCTACAGTTATTACAAGATAAACCTGTTAATACTTCAGACTGTTTGTCAGTGCAACCTTTACCGGTGAAACGTCCAGATCTCATTAGAGAAACTCGTAGATACTTTGGATGTATAATTCATGCTATACGGAAAGGTCGGAAAAATCAACATTCGAAGTGGACTCCATGGCCAGTATCGTCTGAGGCCTGGCAGAGAATTCATGCAGACTATTGTGATCCGTTTCTTAGCAAATACTATGCGCTTGTAGTTATCGATTCTTTTTCAAAGTGGCCTGAAGATTTTTTCACAACTTCACCAAATTCTGACTTCATAATTCAAGCACCAAGAAAGGTGATTAGTCGAGAATGTGTCACAATGGTGTTAGTGGCTGATAACGCCTCTCATTTTGTTGCAGATGAAGTCACTACGTGGTTGAATGGTATAGGGTGCAAACATCTGTTTACTGCTCCTAGACATCCTTGTTCCAATGGTCAGGCAGAAAATTTTGTCAGGACGTTGAATACTGCTATTGATTCTATTGCTGCCTCAACATTTAATGAGCTGGAGAGGGGAGTAGATACTTTTCTACTGCAGTATAAAAATGGCAGACACACTGTGACGAAAGAGACTCCATCAAAGCTATTAAAAGGAAGAATTCTTCGGTCGGATATGAGATGTTTTGAGTCTGCAAAAGTTACATATTATCGTGGAAATGATCTTCGACCATCCGTGGGGATTGTTCTAAAAAATGTCGGGAAATCTGTGGTGCGAATTCTGGATATCAATGACTTAAGCACACACAATCGACACGTTGATCAAATACAATTCCAGGAACCAGGTGAGTCTGTTCCAATTTCCGTTGTTAATTCTAATGCTAATGGGTACATTTTATATAATACAGAGTCCTTATCCAATAAACTGGCAGACAGACATAAGCTGAACTTGAAAAGAAGACGTACAATTGATTACAGACACCTAGACTCCAGTTTAAGCTGTGGCGGATGTGGTGTTTGAATGAAATAATGATTGCTTTGTACTTGTTGAATGTTCGATTTCGAATTCTGTAACAGCTTTAAAATCATCATGTATATTGTGTTAATAGATTCTGTTTTCTTTCTATTGCAGGAAGACAAAGAATAAATGCTTTAGAAGAAGGAGAAGAAGCTCTACATGCACTGAGCCTACAAGACGACTCATAAAACTATTTGTAAACTAACGCCCCGCTTCTGTACATTTCCCCGCACATTTCGAATTTCAAAATATAACACTGGTGTCTTGCATTCCGTGTTCGCTCTCTGTGGTGTGAAGTGCTCGGTTAATCATTGTGTGCTGTTGTATCAGATTCTTCCACCCTTCAGTAGTTGTTGGTAATACGTGTTACAACTGGTTCGTCCTAATGTTTTAGAGTTTGGAATTATTTCTCATGACGCTCAGGAGGCAACATTTTAATGCGCGTCATGTGGTATGGAATAAATAAGATGTCCGAGGAGACATTAAGTTATCTGAGTTCTTCGGCAACACCTCATCCTTCTCTGTACAAAACTTTACGATATAGTCCTAGTAATGAACATGGTGAAAAAAGTTTGTCTCATAATTCACCCGAAGGCCAGGTTCTTCGTTTAGTTGACGCGTTTCAATGTCCATTTAATAACGATCTTAGGGAATGTGAATCCCCCCAAATCCCTATGGTGTCAGCTATGTGCAATCGTTTGGTCCGATCGGACATATTATCTGGATTTGTTGATAGATCTGAGTTTTACCATCCAAAAGTACTAAATAACAACGAAAGACCGGCAGTTCCTGAAGTAGGTGACACCATCGTACTTAAACCTGATCTCAATGATAAAGCTTATCCTTGTTCCGCAACAAAAGTAGTAAATAACTCACCTTCACCGTCAAGCAATTTAGTACCAGCTACGGGTGGTGTTGAGAAACCTCATCGTTATCAACCTGGAACAGATGCCCTTCGTGAGATCCGTCGTTATCAAAAGTCGACCGAGCTCTTGATTCGCAAACTGCCATTCCAGCGTTTGGTCCGGGAGATCGCCCAAAGACATCCAACTGGCTCGCCGAATTCGAGGTGAACGCGCATAAGTCTACCTATGGTCATCCTGCAATAGAAAGAAAACAGAATTTATTAACACCATATACATGATGATTTTAACACTGTTACAATTCTAAATACAGTACATTCGTTATTGCTTGTGTATTACTTCTTGATTCAATTGCGTTATTTCTGGGATTCTTAGTTCATACTTTGATTCAGTTACTCCTAATTATCATACGAAGTTAAATTATTTTGGTTATGGATAATGGTCGAACTATATTATGAATTGGTTGAAGCCATGAATGCACAACATTGGACGGTTTGAAAGCATTTTAAATGTCATTACCACGAAGACTAACGACGCAAATTGCGATCCCCGGAAGAGTTGTGGATGAACAATGGTGAAGTGTCATGTGCTAAGACGAAACGGCTGCCCAGACCCTGAGGATCTAAAGGAACACAACGACTTTACCTGCATGACGAGAACCAAAGTCTCTGAATTCTGACACTCCTTATTTTTACTGATTCAGAAGTCAAAATTTGTTAAACAGTTATAGCCTTGCAAGAGTCAGTTTAGCGTATTGCTCTGGATTATTGTATGCTTTTCCATGATGATTTATCTCACACAGATGAAGTTCTACGGTTGACTTTAGAAGAAAGTCTATCAACAGCACTTTTCAACTCCTTGTTGTCCTCACTATGATAATTCGCAACCAGATCTAGTGTGAGCTGCAAAGACTGTCATTGTATGACCCCCAGTGAAAGGCTTCTGGATCAACGTGCATAAATTATTCACTACTTAAGACATATGTGTGTATTAGTACCAAAGTAATACATGTGGTTTTCACAAAAGCTTTTGATTATTACTAATACATTCCTGAACTGGGAAATCACCTTTATGTAAACCACTCAACCCAACAAATCTTCAGCCTATAACATTCTAGAAGAAGGATCGGGTTTTCCTACTTTCCTTATATTTTGGGTTTTCCTACTTTCCTTATATTATCTAGGGTTTAATGTAGCAAAAACATGTTTAATATGTATGCATAACTTGAGCGGACTTCAAAGTTGTTTCACTGGCCATCTATGTTTTCGACACACTAACAGCCTGAAGAGAAAGCCAAGCTGGAGCTCAAACATATAATTTGATGAAGGCTTGCTGCAGAAACACAGAAAATTTGGTACATGAAAAAAATAGAAGGGCATCGTGTTTTCAGACTGTCGCCATATCGATAATAATTTTGTGATCATTAGGAGTATTCAAATTACTATGCGAACCAGGAATTCTCTAGATAACACAATTAAGGTCAAATAGATCTAAGTATGTACAAACGAATGTATTGTATTTAGAATTCGAAATCAGTCAGTTATGAAGTACAGAAGAATCATTAGTTTACACAAACACCACAAATTCTCACTAACCGATGATTTCGATTCATAATTGTTTATCGAGAATTATTTATTTCACAAAATGTGAACTGTTTCCAAAATTTCGATCACTAAAGAATACTAGGTTTGAATGATGAAAAAGCAATGTTTTGACAGTTGAAGCTATTTATGAAAGATTAACAGAGCTTATAGGCAGTATTGTCTTCAGACAACTTAGAAATCTTCATTGAATAGTTTTAAAGCTGGAGATCTTAGAATAAGAACAATGTGGCAGAATGATAGGATCCGTTTCCACTATTGGCCGATTGTCTGACTCTATAAGATGATCAAATTAGTGGACTATAAAGGAACCATTAATATAAGTCATTCATTTGATGTCGTATATTTCACTAAAACTGACCCCGTATGAGCGACGGCGTCGATGATAACCCAAATACGAAAACAGTCCGAATGGGTCAAGTGGTTGTGGATGGAATAGAAGAAGCTTCCGCTTAACGTGCTTCCGTGTCTAGTAGCAGTGGATCATCAATACTTTCAAGCAGGTACCTAGGTATATTTATTTATTTCAGGCATCCTTTTATACAAAAAGCTGAGGAAAACGTGCCTACTAAAAGTAATACTCATTATAAATGCCATTATGGCTCAAAATAGATAATGCGTAGTGCGACAAAGAAGTAAGCATCAGATAAAACATCAAGGGCATTGATACGCAAGCAAACACACGCGAGACGTATATGTGTAGAATTACAAAGACATGAAAATAAGAGGCATTTTTGATGGATCACAGTTTTATTTGATGAAAAGAATAATTATCAGAAAACCAAAATTATCTAATGGTCACATGTTGTGTTAGCCGAGTTTCTCCGAAAACCAGAATGAATCTCGAGTGTATTAGTACCACATGCTACAAAATAAGTTCACCAAGATCAAATGGTCGTTACCAAATGCTAAATAGCTAAACCGCCAGAGTAGATACAAATGCCTTATTTGGAGTTATTAATTTCCAATATAAATAACTTCATTATAGTTTCAATTACATTTCTGTTTTTTAAGCAAAAAGTTAAATAGGTTCACTTAATTAAAATACATACATCAACCTATCAAAACCGTCCTTTTAGATGTTGCACTGGAACTGTTGCCTTTCAAAATGTTTCAGAAATAATTTACACTAAATAATTCATACATAACCCATGGTACCAACGTTCATATATGATTCCATAATGACTCAAAGTAAAACTTCTTTGTAAACAAGATGTTGTATGTCATAACAGTAGCAATATATCTTCTTCCCGTTACCTTCAATTGCCGTCTTCGTAACTGTACAGTGTTTAAGTAATTCCCGAACCAACAATATAACAGTTAACTGTTGAAGGCGGGACTTCTGAGTTTCTTGTGTTGGCCTTCGGTTCAGTGGTAGGTTTGCTTTGACATTAGTAGATTTCGAGCGTTCTTTCTTGTGTACCTACACCTTAATTTGTGATTCCATATTAGTTCCTGGAGATTAAAGTTGTAATCCTGTCGTGACATTGGATGTAACTGACTTCATATGGATAAATCCAAATGACCCATAACAATATAACAGTTAACTGTTTTGTCAACAGAAATCTGTGTTAAATTGCACACTATTTAATAACACCCAAGTTACCCAATGTAAATTAAAAACATCCTAAAAGTTTGGTAATTTATCTTAAGGAAATCAGAAGTATTAGATTTTAGTCGTGAAATCCAACCAGTCGATCTGTCACTTGTTTTTATCAGTGGAATACAATCGAATTTTAGTCACCCCTCATTGGTCATTATAATGACAATTCCATTGTAACGGCTTCGTGATCGACGGGACTCATTAACCAGGGAAACTGAAGTCTTTGATAAAGCTCATGTCAACTATTAAGAAGTTCATTTACTAGTGTCTTTTTATCTTACAACTATATTTCTTTTTCCATAGTTAGGTCATAACAATAGTCCATTATTCATAGTGTGTTTCAGTCTCCCAAAATTATTCTTTTGTTATTTACGCGTAAACTTGTAATCGCGCACCACGGGCTTCAAGATACAAAATACTCAAGTGATTAAGCAAATTCTCACGTTATGGAGCCATCTGATTTTGTTATTGCTGTCTAAACCTATTTGCGTGCTCAAACCAGCTAATTAAGTGAGAAAACCAAGTTGTTAAGATGCTTTCACCGTTTAAATCCAAGCCAAATATGTGTGGATAACTTATTCCTAATGATGGTAAATCAGTTGATGAGGTCATGAATCTTCATCGACTGAGATGGTTGGGCCACGTGCTGCGTACGCCTGAACACCGATTACCATGGCGTGCAATGCTAATCGGTGTTAGGGATGATTGGAAGAAAGTTAGGGGCGGCCAAACCAAAACGTGGCATCAGTGCTTGAAGTCACTAACTTCTGGTCTGAGCCATGTTGGTAGATGCAGACTTCCTGGTTGGGGTCCGCGTGACTATCGTAACCAATGGTTGGAGACTCTTGGTGACACGGCTCAGAATCGATCACAATGGCGTCGGTGCATACACTCTCTGTCTTTCCTTAAACTAAGAGATTAAAATCGCTTCATGTCTTTCTTTCTAGGAACTAATTCTTTCTTCCTGTACTATCTCCTTATATGCAATCTTTCTTCTATATATTACCACCACTGAATTAACTACTTCTATGAATCCGGTGTTCATCTTGTTGTGCTAATGCTGTATGGCAACTTGAACCGATGCATATATGTGCCTGGTCCTACGTTGCAGCTGACTGACTGACTATTCGTAAACATCTGCATCTTAGGAAAGCAAGCCGCCTTTTTAACCGATAGTGTATCAACTGTTTCATGGAGTTAAGCCAAGTCTTGACCAGTAGCATGAACTGTCAGCGTTTCTTACCTATCATTTGGTCTGTATTTTTTTTACTCAATGTATCAGAAATACTCTTGCTGAATATCGTATGTTCCAGCCATAGTGCTACTCTGTTGTTATCACATGAGTGCTGCACAAATCATTTTAAACAAGTTGACACATGGCGAAACACGTATTAGCATAAAATGATGCACCTACTCCATGTCCTAATTTTTTTTGTTTGTTTGTCCTCCACATTGATGTTTTACTGAAACCTAACTAAGACTGTAAAACTCACTTTATGCTGTAGTTTTCCTATCCATTTCGCTCAGTTATATCAAATTATTTCAGACTACATATTATTAGCTTAGCTCTTATTATTAGACAGACCCACTTGTAACCGCATCTGCATACTGTTCTTACTAATGTACCTTGTTCATATCCATAAATAAACTGATAAAACACTTATGTTTTATTTTCAAACTAGTGTTAACTCCACAGTTTTATTTGATGCGTAAACGAGTGCATATTGATGTAGTTCCAAAGACTCCGGATGGAGGACATATAGACTTTCGACAAATTTCTGCAGAGGAAATTGAGTTTGACTCTGAAATAACAATAAAGTCATCACTGCTGCGAGAATGTAAACCAGGCAATGTTTGGTTTGAGGAAGGTGATTCGGATGACGACGATAACAAGTAAGAAGTATATTGTTCTTTTAAGTTTTATTAGGCCAAAATTCGTTGCTCGTAAATCTATGGATCTTCGTAAAATACGTTCAGAAAAAGATAGGTTCCAAGCCATCTGTTCTAGTCCTATGGTGGACTCTCGACCTCGAAGACTAAGTTACTCAAAGTCTTTTAGTGAAGGTGTGTTGGATCCCAGCAACTCCAAAACTCCATTGCGTTTACCTAAATACGATGATCTTGTCTCATCAGCATCTCGCCGCCTCTCTCGCATAATAATCAATCGTCGATTCTCTTTATTGGAAACGAACCACAACGACCTATCTGTTGGGGGTTCGCAGTTAAAAACCACAACACCTATCACCAAGTACGAAAAACAAAGAGTTAAGAAAAAATGTTCGTCTACTTCAGAAGAGTAAGTCAACGAAATGTGTTGTATAAGTCGATTTAGTTTGATTTATTGACTTTCCTGCCCAATCATACACTAGGTTATACATCGTCATTATATTAATGCGTGGTTTTTACTGCCTGGAGATACAGTATCTTGTCAGATTCAACTACATAAAAGTTGCAAAATGTGCATCAATTCAGGGTAATGCACTTCTGACCGATGTAATAAACGAGCGTTAAAAAAGGCGTTGATAAAAGTCAGTCTTTTGAGCATCTTGAGTAACATTCCCAGACTATTTGAGTGGATCTCCGTCCCTCTAGATATAAAATGATCCTTAAGACTTGAAAATGGAGGCATATTGGTTGAAGGCGTTGAATGATATGGCTCGGAATCAGTAGCAGTGATGCAGTTTTATTAGCTCTCTTCCTTTAAGTTTTGAGTTTAATGTTTCTCCATACTTTCCATTCTACAATTTCATTTGTCCTTTTGGACCGTACTTCATGTTTAGCTTCCCATACTAGTCAATATTTTTCTTCCAATGCTCCTCATGTTGCTAACTTCCCTCCTTACTGTACCGATGTAAGTTGTGGCAGTTCAGACCGACATACATTTGTACCGCTTCATATTTTTTCTACATTGACTCAGAAAAATAACTCGAACAAGTTAGATAAACGCGGAAATAAGCATGACAAGAAGTCTAAACATGAAACGAACAGGTTTATATATGCCAATTTATGCTGATCTTAAAGAAAAGTAAGAATGCATATCAAATTCGATGTCTCCAAATATTGGTTTCTGGCATTAAATGGGCACCTGACCCCAAATCTACAATTCCCTTAAAGAGCTTAGATTAATGATCAACCGCTTAATCAACTAGTGCTATGTTTTCGTCCTTACTTTCCCCTAACGATTGTACCCTAGTAGTATAAAAATAATACAAAGTTCTATAATACTGTCGTTTTATAATATAATCATTGCCGATTCAACAGTTGCCCTTTTCCCCTCATAGAGTACTTATATGAATCCTAGTTACATTTTGATGACCTAGGTATTTATTTATCTAAAAATAAACAATACAAGGGGGCATATATATATAAGTGAAATTGTAAAGAAATAAAGAAAAGAATATGAGTATGATAAAAAAAGTAAAGATGAACAGAGATTAGTGTATGACAGTGAAAATAATGGTGACAATAGTGATAATTATATTATTAATATTTCCATTGCCTTCTATTCTGAGCCATTTGATAATGTCTCAAGCCACTGTGTTGTACTATTTCTAGAACACTTACCAGGGAGTTATGAAGAACCAACAGATACCAGTTCTGTACATCTTTCTTTCATACCATAACACTATATCATACATTGACCACCTCTTCACTTTTTCCAACTGGTCCCGGCATCGGCAAATAGCGCACGACGTACAATTCACTGGGGCGACATTCGTAAGACATGTCCAAGACACTGACACCGATTGGATTATCATCACTGTGCCCGAACATACGATGTCGGACCTCTTCGCTACTAACATGGTGTTGCCACTGGATGTCAGCAATTCTTCGGAGACAGCGATGGTCAAACACAGATAGTTGTCTAACATCCTCAACTCAGAGAAGCCAGGTCGCACAAGCATAGAACAAAACTGCTCTCACCGACGCGTTATAGATCTGACCTTTTTCACCTAGACTGACATCACGGAGGCCCCAAAGATGGCCTGGATTGGTATAAACCTCTTAGGCTTTCACTATACGTGAATCGACTTCATCACCCACGCCACCACCATCACTTATACAACTACCCAGATACGCGAACTTCTCGACTACTATCTGCTCACTACCCAAAGTAAGTGCAGGTTCATGATCCTGTCAGTCTTGTAAAAGTACTTTGCACTTGGAAGGTGCAAAGCACATACCATACCCACGGACACTAATTGCCGACTGATTAAGTGCGGATTGCATTGCTTAGGTATCCTCGCACAGTAAAACATTATCATCCGCACACTTAAGGTCGAAAAGTCTTTCTCCAGGCAACGGATCCACATCACCATTACGTCCATCAGAGCTGTTTCCAGAACGTAATCCATAGCAAAGTTGGAGAGAAACGGTGAAGTGGAGCACCCCTGTCTAACCCCATTGGTACAATGGAACAGTGGAGAGAGGTGGTTATATGTCCTCACTCTGCCTGAGATGTTTGTATATCGGGTTTTCAAGATGTTAGTAAACTTCTCAGGTACACGCTTCATCAATAGACAATCCCAGAAAACAATGCAACCCAACGAATTGGACGCGGTCCTAATATCAAGCAACACTACGATTGTTTGCCTGTAACAAGTACAATGGTGTTCAACTATTTGACGGAGAGTGAAGATATGATCAATACATCCTCGACCAGAACAAAAACCTGCCTGCTCCTTGCAAGTTAATCTTTCCCGGGTTTTGAACAATCTCGATCGTAGTTTCTACCTTCACATGGCGGTCGGGTTTGCCTACCGTGACGACTCAAGCGAGCTACATTGGTTGGAACACATGTACTTTCAAGTCCTACCATGCCAGACAGGCCGGTCGGAGAACGGTAAGACTAAGAGCAGCAACTAATGGTCAGAGAGAGAAGTTGTATTGCTGACTGTAAAGGTGTGTGTCAGCAGTAAAGTGTTTCCCTCTGACAACCAGCATCTGAAGCGATACTGTCTTTTCACAATGGAAGGAAGGGGTTGGAAAAGGTCTACCCTAAGAATATCTCACTTCATCTTACTCCGGCGATAAGGCCTTTTGGAGTGTTGTGGTTCACGCATCAAAAACTTCCCATAAGAAGACTGGGCGACTGGCCACAAACACTTGCCCCTTAGGTTCTGTGGTCACAGTATCAGGTCGCTGAAACTACCACCAATCCAGCTTCCTTTCAGGCCCCTCAAGAAGAAATATCCTTCCACGGTGTGGAAAACTGGAGGGTGTAATTCACTTGATCTCATGTTGCTGTAAATCGAATCCCTCCCTTACCACCCAATAATTCTTTCATGCCCACAAATAACCCTTTTCATTTGTCTTTATCACCACGGGCGACCAATTAGTCAGTCAGTCAGTCAGCTACAATGTAGGACCAGGCACGTATATACACCGGTCCAAGTTGCCATACCTCATTAGCACAAGATGAACACCGAATCGATAAAAGTAGTTAATTCAATGGTGATAATATATAAAAGAGAGATTATGTACAAGGATATAGTACAAGAAGAAAGAATTAGTTCGTAAGGAGAAAGACAAAGCAATTTTAATCACTCCCACAAACCAAATGAGATTTGTGTGGCGCATATATATTTGGTGCCCTCTTTTACCAATATTTATGTGTTCAAATATATAATTATATACATATATATATAGTTTAAGGGAAGATAGAGAGTATGTACCCCTACGCCATTGTGATCGATTCTGAGCCATGTCACCCAGAGTCTGCAACCATTCGTTACGATAGTAGCGCGGACTCGACCAGTATCATCCATGAACACGGTGGATCTGATGCAGATGTGAAGGCATGGATCGGCAAAACAAGAGCAGCATATTTACAACTGAAGAACATCTGGAACTCAAAACAATTGACAACCAACACCGAGGTCAGAATTTTCAACACAAATGTCAAAACAGTTCTACTGTATGGGACGGAAACCTGGAAAACCAAGAAAGCCATCATCCAGAAGATACAGGTGTTTATTAACATTTGTCTACGCAAAGTACTTCGGATCCATTGGCCAGACACTATTAGTAACAACCTACTGTGGGAGAGAAAAAACAGATTCCGGTGGAGGAAGAAATCAGGAAGATGTGCTGGAAGTGGATAAGACACACATTGAGGAAAACACCGAAATGCGTCACGAGACAAGCCCTCACATGGAATCCTCAAGGTCGAAGGAGGAGAGGAAGACCGAAGAACACATTACGCCGGTAAATGGAGATAGACTAGAAAAGAAAACCCAGGACAGAGTGGGTTGGAGAATGCTGGTCGGCGGCCTATGCTTCATTAGGAGTAACAGGCGTAAGTAAGTAAATAAGTGGACTGTACCAACATGGCTGAGACCAAAAGTGAATGACTTTATGATGTGATGTTATGTTTTGGAGACTATTGTTAATGATTTGAGTTCACGAAATGTTATTTCCAGTTTCCTTAAGTGGCTACTTCAAGCAGTGTTCGTCAAGGTTGTCCGCTTTTTCCATTTTTTACTTTATCAGAAATAACACATCGTCTTACTGTGCAGGGATTGATCTTCTACGAGTAGATTCGCTTGTTCACGTATAATATAGTTTTGTTTGGTGAAGACTAACGGAATGCATTCTTACCACCTTAGGCAACAATATCAGAATGTTTTGGATGATTCAGGCTCAGTCTGAAGTACACTTATCCGCTCGTCAGGCGTTGTGTTAGTGACGCAAACCTTTCCTAAAAATAAGGAAGACTGTTAATTCATTTGAGGACATTGTAACACTCTCTAATTGTTAAACGTTTGCAAACAACTCAGTTCCACAACTATAAGGTCGCCACCATTCTTAGAAAGGGCCGGAGGTAAGTCATCTGGATCTGGTGATTTGTAGTTCTTCAAGAATTCGTTTTTCTTGCGGACTCCCATCTCGTTAGGTGGGTCAGTCGACACTGATCAGGGAGTGTAGTGAACAAGAACACAAGTGGGGACAATCAAATGTATTTGAACATAAAATTACAGAACTTCTAAGTAAAATCTAAGAACAGTTTGATCAGTGTCTCCGAAGCTGCAGACCAGATGAAGTGTTCCACACAGAACTCTTCCAAGACGTTTATGAGTTATTGATTGGCGTCCCATCAGCTCCACAGATTGTTTCGCTTACACCAGAGTTTCTGCTGACAGCAGCTTGGATGAGTGGAAAGTGCAGTCAGTCATCATACGAATTATGCTAATAACTTATGGATCTGAAGTTTTACTTAAATCAGTCTAGACTCGAGATAAACTGTTTGTAAACTCTGACGAATAAACACAGGATATGCTTTGTTTTAAGTAACCAATTGTCTGAAGTGAGGAAATCTGGTTGTTAACTAAAAAATAAAAGTAGGTGATGAGGGTTAATCATTTTATTCATTTCTTTACCTACCACATCTATGTATTAACTATTTAAATTGGATAAAAGTTGATAACGTAAGGTCTAGTGTGTTTGTTTAGTCAATTTGTTTCCAGATTTCGAACAGATAATGGTGATCGTCTGCTGCAACTGTGCTCAGAAAATCGTCTATTTTTAGCAAACACTAGTTTTAAGCATAAGGAAAGACGTCTAACATGGCGACCCCCTGCACCGAACTAACGATGGACTCAAATAGACCATATTGCCATCAGTCAACGTTGAAGAGGCTCGACAGGAGACTGTCGCTCGTTCTGGAATATCTGCTTGAATTCCGATCATGCTCTAATATGGGCACGCATTTGCTTGCGCCTCACTGAACACAGAAAAACCACGCAAAGAAGACCCATTAGAATTGAATTAAGTAACGAAAAAGCCAAAAGTAGATTCCAGGAACAACTGAGGTCACACTTAGGTAGTTCTAAAAAGTAGGCTGACCCAGATATTGCTTGTAAAGATATACAAACAGCTATGGAAACAGCAGTGACATATATTAGTGATTTAAACCAAATGGTTACAAAAACCAATGGATTTCTTCTAAGTCTATTGCACTGATAGATTCTTGTAAACTCATCTCATCAGGCTCTGAACACGATGAAGAGCGAAAGCAAATCAGACCTAGGTTAAGCAAAAGTCTAAGGAACGACCGTGAGCAATGGTGGGCAACGAAAGCAAAAGAGATGGAAAAGGCGGCGGTTGTATGTAACACCAGACAGCTTTCCAGACTAATAAAAGAAACTGGAATTAAAAAGTCAAGTATGAGTGAGACGATCACGAAAAAAAAAACTACACTCTTATCTGCTCTCAGCGTAGACGTTTTGAACGATGAGCTGAACACTTGAAGGAGCAGTTCAGCTGACCTTCAGCTACTCTACAACTACCCAACATTCCCAAACGGCCTGAATGCAATATCTAAATAGGCCCCTTCCCCGACTCTAATTGAAGTTCAGAAAGCCATAGTTAATCTGAAACGAGAAAGAGCAGCTGGTTCAGATAAATTGACTTCAGAGGTCTTTAAGGATGGTGGTCCAGTTTTAGCAATTATGTTGACTATTATTTTAGCTGAAATCTGTTAACTGAATGTCGTCCCATGTGACTGGTCTCAATGACTGATTGTCCCAGTATATAAGAAATGATTGAAATCATTCTAAGATAACCATAGAGGGATTAGTTTGACTAATATAGCATCTAAATTACTAGCCTCAATAATTATCGGGAATTTGTCGTATACGATTGTTATTAAAATGGCTTTATGTTCACTCTGTAACCGAACAAAAGAATCTGTCCTCGTCAAGTGTATTTGGTATTAAGTGAAGTTGTGCATATGAGAACCAATAATTACCATTAAATTTTCAGATCAGTAATATTGTTCATGGATTTAAGTAATCATTTAAAGACACGAATTCTTGTTCTCTCATGGGTTTACTAAAATTTCTTGCAGCTCCAAATTATACGTTTTGTTTTTTGAAAATAACTGAAGTGACATTAATATTTTGTGTTTGAATATGTATGATGATCTAATGCTTTAACACATGTTTTTTACTTAGAAAAGAGAATATCAAACCATCAAATAACGATATCGTAATAGCTACTCCTGTATCAAAAGAAGTTGTTGATGATATTTCAAACTCTTCCGTCCATGATCCATGCTCTGTATCTGAATTTCGTGTGCTTGCAGACATGGAAACAGCGCGACTACTTGCGTTATGCGGAGATTGGAATTGTGTTCTATCCGAGGAATGTGATAATATTCCAGAAAAAGGTAAGTGTTCAATTTTTACGGAAGTATATTTTTACCGATCATGTTTTGTCTTATAATTTATTAACAAATGCCTAAAATAATATAATAAGCACCTTACTAGTTATAACACTAGACTTTTTATCTGTAATTCTCTAGTTTTAGCCCCTCTCCTATTCGCTTTTAGATGCTGAGCAGTATTATTAGCTCTCACACAAACCATGTAGCTCAAAGCTGAGTACACAGATCTTAAACTGGTATGTGAGTTGTATCGAGAAAGACACATTGTACGCATGAAATATATAAAATTTCAATCTTATTCAGGTAAAGCTCGAAAGATTAGTTCGAAAATATACCCTCTCGTTCAAACTAGTACTGTTATAACGACATCAAATTTCTGTTGTTTTATATCTAAATTTTATTTCTAAGTAAGATACTTCTTAAGTATATTTTAATTTGAATTACAAGCTTCTAAATTTACCCCTTGTGTATGTGGGGGTTTTGTTGTCTACAAATCATGTATGTGATAAAGCATGATCTGACTACGCATCACCTCACTAGTACAGTTCTGTGAATTCAATCTAATCCAAATGTAATCCATTATCCTTGTTCAGTTCCCTCTACCCTCTGTTTGTGTAAAATTTCTGCTATTATCCCACCATTTCATTATTAACAGTAAATGAATTCAAAGTAGCTTAATAGCCACGTACAAAATATACGTAGGTGACAATAAACTACGCATATTATGTAAGAAATTAACATTTGTGATCTGGCAATTAAAGGTTGAGTGCCTAAATTAATAATTGAGTTATTGAAATTTCTGCACAAGTAACTAACAGTTGAAATGAGATCTAGTAGATTATTGTTAGTAATTTTGCTGAAGCTGTCTGCACATTTTCTGTTGTTCTTTTCTCTGATCCTATATTTACTTGTCATACCTTTCATTAGCTCATAAATCTAGTCTATCTTCGTATGTTTATGAATCACTGGATGACCTAGGTGATGAGCTCCTGAAACTTTACTTGTCTTGATGTTGCCTCTTTTCACTGTTTCAAAATATTCTCACTTGAATTAGTATATATCGTGACGTCTGAAATTATGTTGATATTTATGAAGGTGAAAAGGGTGGCAACTTGCTTGGATCTAATATTTGTGGATAAAATTTTCTTGAGACTAGTTTAGTTGGTGTTTGATTATGAACGAGATAATCTTAAGCACTGTTAGAGGTATGAGGTCAGTTATCGCTTCCCGGCTGCCCATACTGTAAAAGGATATTTCTTGAAGTAACTGCTCTCAAATGCCCTGGTACGGCCGAAAGTGGGGAGAGTCTGCTCTCCCTCTCGAAATGCTCTCACATGGCCATGCGTATATAGCCTCTACCAGGGAAGTCCTACTCACTGCCTTCTCGCACCACGGGTGTTGTTTACAAAAATGAGAGGACGAAAAGCGAATGTCCGGCGCTTTAACCGGATCCCAAACCAATGGTGAACATGGGATCCAGTATGCTGAAGGAACAAATGGCGTATGAACCAATCGTTAGTCACCGGCTACCATGGGACTGCATCTCCTCACGATGCTCCACTGCCTTGTGGGTCAGACGTTCAGGTCGAAGTCTCGGGGTGTGGCCCCCTAAGAAAACCACCTGCTTCGGTTTGGGCACCCGGGCAGTATCACAGCCCTCACACAAATCAATTGAGATTTGTGTGGCGCATATGTATTCGGTGCCTCCTTGTGCCGTTATCTATGTGTTAAAATAATAATATTTATTTATTTATTTGAACACATAAATATTGGTACAAGGGGACACCAAATATGTATGCGCCACACAAAACAATGATAATTTGAAGAGAAGGAGAAAGAAAAAAAAGTAATGAACGTGGGGAATTATAAAAAAAAGAGACAGAACAATAATGGGGGAAACGGAGAGGTACACTCAGAAGAAATCTTTCAGTTAAGGAAGATACAACCACTTTTTATGAAGAAAGTAAAAGAAGGTTAAAGCAGGATCGCCATTGGCTTCTATTCTGAGCCATATCTGATAAGGTCTCTAGCCACTGCGTTACACCGTCTCTCGGACCCCAGCCAGGGAGTCGTGAAGGACCAACACAAGCTAGCCCTTTGCAGCTTTCTTTCATACCACGACTCCATGTCATATACTGACCGCCTCTCCGCGTTTTCCAACCAGTCCCAGAGTCGGCAAATAGTGCACGACGTGGAATTCTCTGGGACGACATTCGTAGGACATGTCCAAGCCACCGAAGTCGGTGTTTCAAGGTGGTGACACCAATTGCATTATCGTCTCTGTGCCCAACACACGATGCCGAACCTCTGCATTACTAACATGGTGTTGCCACTGAATGTCAGCAATCCTTCGGAGACAACGATGATCAAACACAGAGAGACGTCCAACATCCTCAACTCGGAGAGGCCAGGTTTCACAAGCATAGAGCAAAACTGCTATCACCGACGCGTTGTAGATCCGACCTTTTACAGCCAGACTAACATCACGAAGGTGCCAAAGATGGCCCAGATTGGCATAAGCCGCTCTGGCTTTCACTATGCGTGCATTCATCTCATCACTCACGCCACCACCAGCACTTATGCAGCTACCTAGATACACGAACTTCTCGACCACATCTATCTGCTCACCATCCAGAATGAGTACAGGATTAGAATCCTGCCAGTCTTGTAGAAGTACTTTGCACTTCGAAGGTGCAAAGCACATACCATACCTACGGACACTGATTGCCAACTGATCAAGTGCGGATTGCATGGCTTGGGCATTCTCGCACAGTAAGACAATATCATCCGCATACTCAAGGTCGAGAAGTCTTTCTCCAGGCAACAGATCCACACCACCATTACTTACATCCGTCAGAGCTGTTTCCAGAATGTCATCGATGGCAAAGTTGAAGAGGAATGGTGAGATTGGGCAACCCTGCCTAACCCCACTGCTCGAATGGAATAGTGGAGAAAGGTGGTTGTATGCCCTCACTCTGCCTGAGGTGTTTGTGTATAGGGCTTTTAGGATGTTAATAAACTTCTCAGGCGCACCCTTTTTCAATAGACAATCCCAGAGAACAGTCCTATCCAACGAATCGAAGGCAGCCCTGATATCAAGAAACACTACGATTGTTGGCCTTTGATAAGTATGGCGGTGTTCTAACATTTGGCGGAGGGTGAAGATATGATCAATACATTCTCGACCGGAACGAAAACCAGCCTGCTCCCCGCGAGTCAATCTTTCTCGGGTTCTGAACAATCTACGAAGTATGACGGAAGCCAATAGCTTGGACGCGATCGGAAGTAGACTTATCCCCCGATAGTTGTTACAGGAACGACGTGAACCCTTTTTAAAGATAGGGACAACTATCGACTCATTCCATGACGTTGGTACACTCTGTAGTTCCCAGACCTTTGTAAACAACGTCGTCAGTCCCTTAGTCAGAAAGTCACCACCATCTTTAAAAGGAGCCGGAGGTAAGTCGTCTGGACCCGGTGATTTGTAACGTTTCAAGAGTTGGAGTTCCTTGCGGACTTCCGCCTCATTTGGTGGATCAGTCGTCACCGGCCATGGAGGGCAGGACAGTCTGACCGATGTTGCCGGAGCAGCAGGCCAGTTGAACTGCCCTTCAAAGAATTCTGTCCATCGTCCAAGACGTCGATGGATGTTAGTGATTGGCGTTCCGTCATCCTCGCAGATTGTTTCGCTCACACCAGACTTCTTGCTGCCAGTGGCTCGGATGAGTTGGAAGAGCTTCCGGTAATTACCAGATGCAGCTGCTGCTTCCAACTCACTGGCACGCTCCGACCACCAGGCTTCTCGGTCCTTACGCAAGCTTTGCTCGATTTCGTTACGTAAAATCCTTCGTCTGTGGTCAAACTCACGGTCACCCGGAGTAGACCGACGGGCTTCAATGAGTTGTAAGGAACCAGAAGAAACCCAGTGCTTGTAAGCGGGACGTTTCGCGAACCCACAACAGACTGTACCCGCCATTTTCATGGCGTCATGCAATTGCAACCAATGCTCATCTATACTATTCGGTGGAATAGTAGCTAGCCTAGAAGCTAGCTCGGTTCGGTACTTACTAGCAACAGAAGTTGCAACAACCTTGCTAACATCAATCCTTTGGTGGCGGTCACTTCGTTGTCCACTGAAAAGTAAGGTAAGATTGGCGCAGACCAGAGCCTGGTCAGATTCCAGATAGGTACTCCAAAAGGAGCGGCAGTCTTGTACACAACCACGCCAGCGGTAGCTGATCGCGATGTGATCAATCTGTGTCCAGGCTTGAGATGTAGAAGGGGGACGCCAGGTGGCACATCGGCGATGACTGTGCCGAAAGTTAGTGCTAGCCAGAAACAGGTTGTGGTCTGTGCATAGTTGCAGTAGACGTTCCCCGTTATCTGTCCTGCGACCAACAAGTCCCCATCGGCCACCTAAACGACTCTCTTCTGTGCCTAGACGCCCGACCTGAGCATTCAAGTCTCCAGCTAGTACTACAATATCTGTCGAGCGCACTTTCTGGAGAAGAACAGTTAACTGGTGGTAGAACTCATACTTGATTGCATCCGGGCTGCAATCTGTCGGGGCATAGGCGGATATGAGGAAAAGACATCGTTTCTCACGCCTATTTCTTCTCACTTTGATGGAACTTTCTAATCTAACAGCACATAACCGACTGTTAATGGGGATCCAGTCGACTAGTGCTGCCTCAGCTCTAGCGCTTAGTGCGACACCAACGCCAGCAAGACCAGACGAAGATGCCACAGGGTCCCCGGATAAACGCACATAAAACAAGCTTTTTGAAGCGACAGATGGAGAGCGAACTTGTAGTACTTCACCAGAGTTTTGAATAAGGTTCTCGGATAGACAGCAAACGTCAATATTAAGACTTTCCAAAGACATAGCCAGCCCTATCTGTTGTCCGACTTGCATAAGTGTGCGAACGTTGAAGGCAGCCAGTTTGAATGGTGTACGTGGTTTCAGAAAAACTGCTTCAGTACTCGTATTCGGTGGTAACATACAATTTTCAACCAGGCAGTGACTCGAGAACGTTTAGATAAAGCTGAATTTTCACCATAGGCGAGCTGCTGTCTAGGTCGAAACGGATACATAAAGTAGGAATAAGAGAGGGTGAATAAATGACGTGGTAGAGTAATAATAATAGTACGAGTTATTTCAATGTTAATCAGATAGAAAGGAATATTTTCCATAAGCAAATAGTTCATCATGGTTTTAGTGCGTGGGCTGAGATACTGCCCGGGTGCCCAAACCGAAGCAGGTGGTTTTCTGAGGGGGCCACACCCCGAGCCTTTGATCTAAGGGTCTAGTCCACAAGGCAGTGGAGCATCGTGAGGAGATGCAGTCCTATGATAATAATAATGAAGTAACTGAAAAAGGAAGTGGGTTAGGAGTGTGATCTTGACAGCCTGGGAATATGACCGCGGTGTTCAAAGGACAACATTTTAAAACTAGTCGTATGGCCTTTTTCTGAGTAGTTTTAGGTGAAATAGCTCAGTACTTTTAAGGCTTCTCATCTCTCGATGAAAATTCATTAGTTAAGGTGGTGTGCTATTTTTCGGACCGACTTTTTTTTAACCCTCTCTTCCTGTTGGAGGAGGGTAGCATCGCTTTAGATACTAATTGTCGGAAAGAAACACCGTACTGGCATCACATCCTTATACAGTCGGTAGTACGACTTCGCCCTTGGACCACGAGTTTGCTACTTTGTCTCACTACTCTTCAACTAACCTGCTTGACATGGTAAGACCTAAAGGAGCAAATTTTCTAGGCAATATAGCTGAGTTGAGTCATCAGGACATCCAATCCTAACCACCATATCAAGGTAAAAACTACAGTCAGGTAAATAGTAGGCAAATAGGCTGACTTAACGACTTCGCATTATGATACCACTGTTCCAACAATCCATTAGTCATATCTTAGCTACATATTCTTAGTAATAATGAAAAATAGAAAATAATGGTTTGGATTTCGCCTCATATCATCATAGTTCTCAGACCTTTTTTTCTCACTAATTGTTGTGATAAAGTGGTAGTTAAATAAGTATATTTTTAACCTAAACAATTTTGTATCATTTAAGTGTGATGCCTTCTAACTTCACTACTTTACCTTTCTTTTCACGTCCATAGCACTTGACTCAATCAGGGCAACCGTTGGGAAATGTCAATTATTGTTGCAGAAAAAGTTGCCATTTTTCAAAAGCCTAATTGAAATGGCAGAAACAAGCCTTGGGAAATCTGACACACTGTCGAGTAGCGCAACAACACCGGAAGCCACTATAAATGATCTCTTAGGTTATTGGACCTTAGTAGCTGATGAAATCAGTTTGTCCGATAGTGCTTTCGAACGTCTACGTGTTTGGCGTGATGAGTTACATTGGTCAATTGATCAGTGTCCTGTTACCCCAGCCAGATCACAAATTGTTAAACGACGTGGTCGTTTATCTAAACAAATAAAACGCTTACCAACTCCAAAGAGTAGTAAATCCAGAAAGTCTCAATCTGTCAGTGATGAAGTTCTGAATACGGATAATGTAAATCCCTCTCTTTCAAAAAAGCTAGGTTCAACTGTTAAAGCAACCAAGGTATTGATTCTGTCTTTTATTTGCATTATATGGTTCATCTACATCGTCGAGTTAAATCCCGAATATTCCAATTAAAATTCTCCACATCATTTAGATATCGATATTGTATATTCATAAGTACTAGGTATTCACATTGTTTTTTTTTTAAATACCATACGGAATCATGTTACTGAAATGATGTTTAATGATTGTACGGACATGTATGCTTAACCAAGTACTATTATGTCCTGCGAAGCTGTGAAAAATTAGCTAAAAGTATAACCTTTAGTTCTCACACTGACCGCGGTAAATATTAGTTTAAACAACTATTCTTCATTCCACAGAGTGTCATCTTTTAATCTTCCAAGGTCTTTGTTTCCTTCAGTTATTCTCAGCATCGGTAGGTAGTTGTCAATATGAAAACTTAGTTGACTCGTAAATGTTGATCGTATGCATGGCATAAAACAACATTTCACCTGGTAAATAAAGATTCTATGTGATCAAGTTACGAAACTGAACTTACATTCTAACTTTACTAACAAATCGTAATGATAATTCGGTGATAACAAAACCCAATGAGTGGTTAATTATTTATTTATTTATTTATTTTAACACATAAGTATAGGTACAGGGGGGCACCAAATACATATGCGCCACACAAATCTCAATTGATTTGTGTGAGGGCTGTGATACTGCCCGGGTGCCCAAACCGAAGCAGGTGGTTTTCTTAGGGGGCCACACCCCGAGACTTCGACCTGAACGTCTGACCCACAAGGCAGTGGAGCATCGTGAGGAGATGCAGTCCCATGGTAGCCGGTGACTAACGATTGGTTCATACGCCATTTGTTCCTTCAGCATACTGGAGCCCATGTGCACCATTGGTTTGGGATCCGGTTAAAGCGCCGGACATTCGCTTTTCGTCCTCTCATTTTTGTAAACAACACCCGTGGTGCGAGAAGGCAGTGAGTAGGACTTCCCTGGTAGAGGCTATATACGCATGGCCATGTGAGAGCATTTCGAGAGGGAGAGCAGACTCTCCCCACTTTCGGCCGTACCAGGGCATTTGGGGGCAATGAGTGGTTAAACTCCACTAGGTATGTTGGATGCACGAGAAATTCGCATTTTGCATGGAATTATTTATCCGTTTTCTTACAACTTTAGTGGTGTCCTTGGTTGGTATGTTTTAAGTCGACTTTCGCTGTCTGAATCTCATCCGTAAAAACATAGGTATCATCTTCCAGTCAAAAGGTTTAAACCATAGCCCCATACTTCTTTTAGATCTATGTTTAGGACCTATCATCGTCGATAAAATTAAAATAAAATGCATTTCAATTGAAATGTATTTCCATCATTATCATCCATAAGTAAATCTCTTATGGATGATAAAATAAAATGGCTAGACCTGGTAACTTTTTCTCTTTCTGAATTTCTGAAATAATATATAGAAAATATCTCGATTGCATCTCATGTATCGAATCATATGTCTTTTGAAGAAAGCGATCAACTTAAGAAACCCCTTTAATAATCTATTCTTTCTACGCAGGGTACATCCTCCATAAAGTAATGCAGGTGATCTAAAATGTACGTCAGTGAAAAATCGCATTTACCTAAAGGCAATAACAATGCGATTTATGGGCCTTGACTGAATTTCTGTGTAACTGAGACATTCACACTAATGAATCATTGAGTTGTAACCTAATTCATGTTCAGATCTTAACTGTGATTGAATTGTAATATACCCTTTGGTCTAAGTAACCCAATGTTGCGATTCGATGGTTATGTTGTCCATTTTCCTATTTTGTTACTAATGCACAAGTTCTATGCGCAAGCCAAATCAACTACTTGAGTGAGAAAACAGCTTTTATTGGCTAATCGAGTTAGCATTTATGTATGCTCATCCATATGTGTGTCTATACATTAGAAAATTTACCCACTGATGGAGTTATCTCATATTTTGATAACTTACACTTATTATTTGAAGGTGTCCGACCAACCCAATGTATTATAGGTTTGATGCTTGATGAACATAGGTAATGAACGAATGCTTTGATCCTAGATATCATGTGTGTTACTATTCCTTGGTAGGACTTGTCGACAGTTTTGTTCACTTCATTATTGCAAAGCTTTAACATTGATATTGTTTTTTTGCCGATAACATTCTCGATTTAAGGCTTTTTCTATCTCGGTTCACAAGTTTTCAACTATAATTTAGGTATGATATGTTGTAAATGGTACAGAACCATAGTATACAATTGGTGTTTCATGTGAAAAAACTCACATACGTTATCCAACCACAGGTAAAATATATTAATACATACCATACGAAATTAAGTCGGTGTAAATTCAGTTGTAATATGTTCAGTATACTGTGATTTCTATGTGAAATTAATGAAGATGTTAGGTGACGCTAACAATACATTTGAAAGAAAACATGTAGATCCTTATTACTACGTGAGAGGGAAATACACCCAGATCTCGGTAAACCACTATTGTTTAGCTCATCATCAAGTGTCAATGTTTCCAATTCATAATATGATCCTGTTGACTCAAAAGTCAAGTTTTTCACTCAATGTTTTTTTGGGAATTAAAGGATGTACAGAAAAAGCCGGCGAAGTCTAGATTTGCTGAATTTCTGCGAGCTAAGAAGGCACTAACAGCGGAAGGTAAGCATAGTGTCTCTTTGTATTTGCATTCATTTGTAAAACTTTCTGTTCGAAAGTTGTTCTGTTCAGCTCTTTTTTAGACCTAATAAACGTGCTTTCTTCAACTACTTATAATCTTTGAAATGGATTGTAGTATATTCACTTATCTTACTGACTTTAGGTTTTTATTATTGGTGTAGGAGATTTGTTAAGGTTGTTCAATCCATAGTTCACAGTATAGATTGACTTCAGTTAAACGACCATTGAAAACCAAGAATAATTTTGAGTGTTTCTTACTTTGAAATGATTTTCTAACGAATCAGTCTGTGATTGTAAACTACCGCTTTTTTATCAGCGGATATTAACGTAGATATTCATTCTAACTATTCACCTAGTATTCTCTTCACCTGTATACCTTATTCTGGGTTTTTAGGCCAAATTTGAAAGCATATTTGCATGTAATTTAGAAAATAACATTGTTATGGTTTTCGGCTGTTAATTTGAAAAACAGGACAGACATTCCTTGTCTGGATTCCAATAGACAGTTCCCTGTATTCCGTCCGATCAAATAATTACGTGAGAACTCTGAGATAGGGATGCACGCCGTCGTCTGCCTACGCCTCCACTGATTACAGCCTTGTTCAAAGAGATAAGTTCCGTCAAGAACCCTCTGAACTCTTTTATAAGGCTGCACGCTCTGACGTAGTAATCAAAGTTGTTGCTTTTTTATATCCGAATGTGTTAGAAAAGTCTGTCTGAAAAAACATCTAGGGTAGTTTTTCAACATCTCAACCGGAAACAAATAGTTATGACCCTGTGCTTTAGTTTTACTCAAACAACCTCTAGTAAACACCAACTTTAAATACGAGAAGAGACATCATCTGATATGGTGATCCTTCAACATATACTCAACTAAACCCAGAGAAATTGCTACAGGAGGACCTCAGTTTGAAAATAAAAAGGCCTAATTAACAAGGAACTAGATAAAGACATAATCAGTCATGAAGGTAATGCTAATCCCCAATTAGCTAGCTGTAAATTCATCGGCTATATTTTGTAACTTAAATCAAAATGTTAAAAAGTACCGACGGATTTTGAGAACATTTGTAACTAATGGGTTTTATGACAAATCGGTTGATGGGACTGTAAATCTTTATCTACTGAAGTGACTGGGACGTGTTACATATTATCAGTCACTCCTTACCCCAAAGTCCAATATTGTCTGACGTAAGAGCCGTTTAAGGAAAAGCCAGGATTGGACAAATTAAAACGAGATTTTAGTTCACAATCTCATCCTTTGATCAGAGCTGCTTCGGGACGTGCAAACTTTCGGGTTAGGACTTAGAAAATAATTGTTACTTATGGTTTTAGATGTTAAGCGACATTGGTTAAAATCAAGCTGCGGTGACGCATATGCTTTCATTCTTATTTTATGTGTCGTAATTTCCAATGTTATTCCAGTCTTCTAGTCCGTGAATTCAATCCTTCTCAAACCATGCTTAGTTTTCCTTGCCATCAAATTGATATTACTATTATTCCGACTAACTATATAAATTCAAAACATTTGTATTTACCCTACTACTGTGGAATGAATCTGAAATAGTTTATTTTGGTTAATTAATGAAATCGTCATTTCCATATCAAAGAATCTCTTTATCCACTGATGAATTGTTTTTCGTGATGTGTCATTCCATGATTTACTACTGTATCAAAAGAACCCATAGTTTTGATAGGCCTTTCATCTGCGCTGATTTTAGTTTTACAATTTCGATGTTTCCCAATCAGAATTTACAAATGACTAACCACAGAGCAGTGATGACTTGCCTGGAATCTTGAGGAGACCGCTGATTCTCCCTGGGGAGGTGTTGCTTATTCAAACTCAACCATCTTCATAGTCAGAGATGTTATCACTCAGTTGCCTGTGCAGCTGCTACGCCTTGTTAACTAGTGTCCAACCAGTACAAAACGTGATTGAAGCAGGATTTACCTGTCGACTACCTGCAACCGCCTAACCAGTCAGAATTATTACAATTCATTGTGACATTAACATTATCTGAGCAGCTAACTGTGCAGTTCTAGTAATAAATGTTGGTGCGTTCACCATTAAGGTAAATCATCTTAGTTACATGTATCCCTGGTTAAATCTTTTGGAAGTTAGAAATTTCATATATTGAGAGGGTTTTTTTGCATAGGTTATCTGTACTTCTAAAGTTTTAAATTTTATATTCTTGTCGACAAATTTTGGTGGATATCCATCATCGATAAGAGTTTTTCTTAAGAGGTTGAATTCGTCATCTGTGGCATCGGTGACTGCAAATTCTTTGTATTCGCATAGCAAAAGATATGATTTAAGTTTTTCTTTCTCTCTCAACTTTGCGATTAACTTCATTAACTGAGATAAAATAGATCATGTATAGGTATGATTACATAAATAAGTTTTTATTCTATCCCCTTTTTGTTTATTCTCATTGCTTTACAGTGACACATACTGATCATGGTCAACATCAATCTTATCACCAAAGTGAAAATATTATTGATACACTCTCGCCTCTTGGTTTACATCCAGTTGATAAGAATTTCACTATTCAAAAATAATAGAGAAATAAAAAATTAACATATTTTATTTTGACTGGATTGTACAAACAATTACTATTTATTTTACAGTTGTTAGTCATGATTGTTAACTGACTGACTGACTGACATTTTTGTAAACCAAAAATCTATCTCTGTCTCTTACTTTCTCTTTCCATCAGTTTATTGTTCTCTTACTAAACGTTTATTCTCTGCTTTTGCCTCGTTGTCGTTTATGTTATTTCTAGTCATTATTGTTACCATTATCATTACTGCTTATTGTTCATCCATATTATGTTTTATTGATATATGGTTTGAAAAAATTAGATACGTTAATATCATTAATATAAAAACATACAATGAAATATACTTTACTATTATGTCATTATTTTCTGATGATTTACTAGGCTTAAAATTTGTAGAGTAGTAGTAGTAATAATAGTAGTATAGACAATGTATTCAAATGCCTATCACCATTTATTTCAGTTAGAGAAACTTTAAATTTATAGGAAAACATCTACAACATACAGCTTATGAAAAGATAAAAATTTCAATGATCATAAGAATATTATTATTGGTAATGATTGTTTTTATATAACTTAAAGATTAACTAACAAGGTATCTAGATTTAGTTTTATAGATTATTCTGTGAAATGTTCTGATGATCATTAGAAATGGTCAGAATTCTAAAAATGATCCAAGAATATGTTGCGAAATGGATAGACTATAAAATACTTATCTGATCTTTTCGAAAGTACCGTAAACTAGTTTGATGGTAACATTCCCGCTGCTTTTCTTTTATGTCACTAGGAAATCGAGTATGATAATTCAAACAATGTTTAAAAGATAAGAGAATGTATTATTTTTTCACAACAAGTGGTAAAACTTGAACGATCAAGTTTGATAAAATTGTTATCAATCGAATGAGCGATTCAATAAAATAAAGGTACTAGATAGTGCTATGAAACAGGTATTGAGGCATTTGTAAACATGTTTACACCGCCTACGACAAAAGTGATATTGCTTTAGGGATAACATCGAAGAGTAATGTAGTCGTACATTAACTGGTTACCAAGTACATGACCCATGTTTATGAAGTATGACCCCCTGCTCCTAAATGTCAGATGTCAGCACATTTTTCAGATTTATAGAGCACAATTCTTAAAATCAAGAACCTACCTCCCCTTAAGCTTGTTAAAGCACGACGTTATAAAACTCGGTAAGAAATTACATCTTCCTACTTATGTTTGTGGGATTTCATCCTTGTTGCCATTTGGTGAAAATGACAGTCTATCTGTATTAGTAAGCACATTTTATTAATAGGAATCCCAAACTATTGCCACGTTTTCCCAACGTTGCATAATTGAAAAGTTATACTAAAGCAGACTAACATAATTCAGTCTAATATACAAACGGGATATGTTTGCTATCGCATTACAGAATTTTCATTACCAAAATGGAATGTTGATAAGAACATGAAGGGACTGTCTGTACGGTTTTTCTTAAATATATGTAACTACTAACAAGTAGTAAATGAATAATTGCAAAAGTTTGGTTTCAGCTAAGATTAACCACATACATTCTGGTTTCTGATCAGTGAATTTTACCTCGAATGTAAACTTCTATCCAAAGTTTATATTTCTTATTAATCAAATCTAAATCGCAGAATGTTGCGACTCATTTATATCGAGTAGTAAGAAGGCTACTTTTATCAAGACAATATGTTAGGATAAAGCATTTTGAATATTAACTAGTTAAAATATACGAACTCAAAGCTTGACAAATAGGAACATACGAATAACAAGAATAATACTATTGATATCACAGAATTTTTCCCAACATTCAAATGGTGGACTTAATATTGGATACGAACGTCTTTAAACACAAAGGAGGTTCAAATATTGGTTTGACTTAACTTTCAATAAATCACCATATTCTCACCTTCTATAGGGGGTTTCTAATGTATGTTTAACGATATAAAGGAATGAAGGCTTATCACATACTCTTAGTTTGATTTTGCAACCAATAAGGTAATTGTTTAACTAACGTTAGTAGCATATCACGATTAGTCCTATCTATGTATGTGAATCGACGAACACAGTAGAATGTGATGCAATCCTTTTTATACTGTTAGGATTTCTAGTTAATTATAGAGTTCGTCTATTGAATTATCTTTATTTTGATCATGTAAAATACTTGAAGTCAGTGTAGACTTTTCAGGTACAGTAGGCCTCAACATTTTGAGATCTCTCCGCTAGTTTATGAATTTTGCTATCAATTACGCAACATTACTTAAATGAGCAGCTTCATCTAGACGCTGTAAATCTAGATAGGATAACCTGGACCAGGCTGACACATATTTATACCAAGTTCAACACGAAGCTAGACCTGTAGAATTGTTTGTCTAAATTCTATAGATAATATTGAATCTGTAGATGAATGTACAATATAAGGTATTCTAATAGCCTTTTCTGTCCTTTGTAATAGGCACGTGATATCCCTCCGGAATAAAAGAATAAGAAATTACCAGTTACTCACGGTTCTACGCTGTCTCTAGTTGTCTTTTCCAAATCATCTACTCTAAGATTCCAAGGCAAGTGGATTACTTCTGAAACATATGACTGAAATTACAGAAAGAATTCCTTGTTTAATGTTAAAACCAACATTCTCCGATCCAGATGAACATTGAAATTTATAGACTAAGGGAATCAACATCAAAGCACACAACTGTTATCATTCAATAATCTTGAAGGGAATAATATTTAGTATAAATTTTTCACCTATTCCAACTCATCAGAGTTAGCAAATATTAATTTTCAAAATACCAAACAGTTTGTTATTTATTGAATAACATACATATATCTATCATATTCATTCAACAGAATCTTTCCAACTTGAGTGAATTAACCGTAATGTCGTTAGAAAAGTTTAACTACATCTCATAACAGTATAATTTTTAGTTCAAGGTTACACATACAGCTCTTTATATTCAAGTCATTCGAACATTCAATTTGAGTCACTGAACTTTACTATGTAAAAGAACTACTATATATAACCTAGAAAAAAGTACTTTTATTTTTTTCTATAATCATCGGTATGTAGTAATTGACGATGGATTGTAAGAGCAATGCTAATTTATTCATTGTACTTTCTATCTTAATATGGTATAATGACTTTTTATTCCCTGTTACATTCTTCTAACCCCCCACCCCATGCAAGAGAAAAACGAACAGATTCACGTGATTACGAATTCGCAAGGTTTCAGTCACTTATTTTCATAAAAATAAGAAATTCTATTCATAACGTGTGAACAAAAAATATGCGTATAATTTAGATGCTAAACGAAGTGCCCAAAGGATAAATGTGTTCAATTATTTTATACACATGAAAACGTCACATATTGTACTGAAAATCCCACTTAGGTATCACTATGGTGATTATTATTATTTTCTCTTATCTGCATACCTTTTTTCAACAGAAATATTGATAATCTGAGACCCATGTGTTGATTTTTTTCGACTTGATTCAACATGTAGCATTTGTTTCTGAATTTATTTATTAATCCTAACGATACTAACTGATGATTGGATGATATTATTGTAAATATAAATGAATCTTCAAAATTTACAGTTCAATAGGTCATTCAATATTGATCGTGACTATGTTAGTTTTAATCGACTTAATTAATTGAATGGCCATGATCTAGTGCCTATACTATTTCTTCTTGCACCATTCATGACCTGTGACTCTTCTCTCAGTCTTTGGATAGTTAGTCTAGAGTTATACAATTCTACTTCTGAACTCAACTAAATATGATATTTCTCACTACTACTGTTACCACTATAATCTTCTTTACTAACTATCTATTGGATTAACTCATGTTACCTGAGTATTGTATGTAGAAGATCCAGGGATCAGCATCACACGATTCTGAAATATATATATATATATATATATATATATATATATATATATATATATATCACATGGATAAGGCTCCATAGAAATTCTTACTCTTCTCAACTGTCAATCAGAACAGAAATACAAAATGAATTGTTACAAGAAATTTCACTATTCTAGTTCACAACATATGTGTATTTATACAAATAATCTATATGATCACTATGGACATCAAATGATAAGTTTCAATATATCATTAGAAAATTGTGCTGTTTTAAAGCACAAATGAATCATTTATTTCTTTTAATCGATAAAATATATCAATGTTACTACTTCCGTGATTATATCACTAAACTGATGTGGTGCAATCCAAATGAGAAAAACAAGACAATAAACAACGATTTATTTTCAAACCTTAAAGTAGATTAAAAATTGTGTTTTAATTCATTAAGTTTTATAACGTTAATAAATTAAACTGTGTAGTACTCTTTATTGGCTAAATAATAACTTACAGTATGAATACAATTTACAGATATCAGAATACTTAAAGGTTTTAAACAATAAACACAATTTATTTGTTAATATAGAGGGTTTATGCAGATTACTGAATGTTCTTGGTTTATACCAATGAGTGATGTTATTTAGACAATCATTGAAAACTGAGAAACACCTCTTAGGGGATCGATCTCAGGATTAGCAGCTTCGCGGTGGGTTCATAACCTCCAGATCACTGAGCCGACATCCAACGATGCATATATTTAATGTCAATCTTCAAAGACACTCTATATTAATAAAAGTCATGTGCTCACTGGTGATTTACTTCTAGATGTGATTCCAGGACTCCCAGTGAGCAGTCGTGATCAGTGAAGCTGAACCATATCGGGACAAAATGAGAGACCCTATTCTACTTCAGTATGATATTTATTCCGTATAACACTGGTCACTACACAGTGAACCAAGTACATATGGTTAATATACATAATAATTCTGACAGAAAATCTAAAACGGAAATTTACTGTGATATTTGAATGGTTAACCTGGGTAAGATAACTATTAAATAGCAAGAAGCACTGGACACCTATTTCATCAAAGTACGAGACTCCTCAGACTTCCGCTTTCACGATTACACCAAGGATGAAATCCAGAACCTCTCACAACTTCATGAACTGATCGTAACTTGGGATATGAATTAGTTGATAACCCAGTAGTTTGAAAACTGAGTGTCCTTCGAGAACGTCGAACGTTATATGCTCGAGACCCTTTAAGATGGTGGATGTGATCTGTTGAAGAGTCCAATACTAGGACAAAACAGCTGTTTAGTGTTACTCAGTTTCCAACGGTTATCTGAATAAAGTCAATCTGTGATATGAAACTATAAAATAAACAGCCTCCAAAACTCCGTATGATAAAAGGAATGAGAGTACTTAAACAATGTAACAGTTACTCATAAGTAATAGAATTAGATTACGTTCAATACATAT